GATTCTCTAGGCTACTTTTTAGAAATAGGAGTACATTACATTCTCAAATGTTTGTGAGATGATTGAATTTGCATAGTGTATTAAGATATTTCCTCTCATCAGAAACATTCCTTTACAGTTAATTCCAAAGTACCATTGTGTTGTGCCAACAAAATGACTATTTTTGTGATATTTTGGCCAATCTATGATATATAATGAGGTATATCACATCATATATTATATTCATTCAATTACTACTTAAACTTCTATGGAGTTTAAGCCATCAGTAATTCAACTCTTGAAATGGTACTGTCCTTACATTCAAAGAGTTTCTTTTAATGGAGAAGACAAATATGTAAGCAAGTTATCACATTCTCACATATTAAAATGATCTTTTTTTCATAGCCCATTATGCTCTCTGTCCATTTTCCAGATATTGTTCCTGGACTAACCTCAATAGTGTAGTGATAGATAGATGATGTATATTGTTGTCCAAAGACCTCACACAAAAGAAACCATCACTGACATGGCTAGAAAATGATCAATATGATGAGTTCTCTAATGAGCCTATATGGCAATTGGCTTTGGTTAAAATTTTGCCTTAGCTTTTCGGGTAGGAAATAAAAATAATATGAAAGCATTTACACATGAAAATTCAAGTTAGGTTAAGCACAGTATAATCAGAGTCCTTTTTAAAGCCTCACCACAGTAACATTAACCTTTAGAGTAAAACAGAGTAATACTTTTTGCTTTCATTTATTAGTGTATCTATTCATTCTCTGTATCAAGCCTTTTTTTGAATAAATTGTCTGAAGTGTTAATCACAATCCTTAGAACTCCCTTATCTCATAAGCATGGAATCAGATTAATCATAAAACTCAGATCTCTCTCATTGTTTATACAAATACGATGAACATTCATGAATTATGTATGCTTAGTTAATTTTTCTAATTCAAGTAATAAGTACAAGTGACCCAACCAGACAGTAAGTCTATTTCTACAAATATGGTATTGTCAATGTCATTAATCTGCTCTCTATTACTGATGTAATTTTATGTTTCTAAGGCCTATGTCCATTGTTCACATGCTTTCTTTTACTATTTTGAGCATCTAAATATTTCTCAAGAATTGTATTTATAATTTTAGTTATTTTTACTTCTAAAAGCCTGAATGCTTCATATACCTTGAAATTATAATTTTGTAGCAAATATTATTTTGTTGTAATTCACAAATAGTTCATTTATTTTGAAAACCTTATAATATCCCAGTGCACTAAGACACTTCAACTTACAGTGGTACTTCAGTTCATGAATTTGATTGTTCCACAACTTTGGAAAAGATGGGCATATTTGTATTTGTCTGGGAAAGATGGCCGCAGTCATGTTTGTTACATGATGCAGAGTTTGAAAGCAAAAACAAAATTTTGCCAAATGCTTCTTTTGCAAACCAAATTGTTTGCAAACAAAAGCATTTGTGAACTGAGGTACCGCTATATTTAGATTTTCCTCATCATAAACATTTGGATTGTTTCCTTTGTTTTTCTATTGTGAATAATATTCCTTGAACATTCTTCAATGCATCTTCTTTTGTGCATGAACAAGAATTTCCCTTGAATATAAATTTAGGAGTAGAGATTTTCCTTTGTAAAATATGTGATGTTGGGCTTTAAGTGATAATGCTAAAACTACTGACATTTGCATTTATTGATATTCTTATTATAGATTTGTGCAGTCACAATACCTCTAACATTTTGGATTATTGCATAGTTTTTGTCAATATAATGAATGTAAAAAGGTAACTCATAGTATTATTGATTTAATTTTTGTCTGATTTTTAATAAGCTTATATTTCAGCTTCATGTATACTTGTTATAATTTTTCAATTGTGTCATTTTTAAATTTCTTAATCATTTGTCATTATTTTAAAAATCTTTTCAGTAATATTCTTCATAGTTGTGGGGATTGTGAATATCTTTTCCCACTTGTAATTTTCTTTATGATTTTTTTAGGTTTCTTTTGATGAAAAAGTTCTTAATATTAATATAGTAAATGTATTAAGTGTTTTGGAGAATACTAAATAAAACTGGTAAACTATTGCCTACTCTACAGCAGAGCTCAAGATATGAGAATCTAAATTTTCAACTAAAATATTTTTAAAAGTTTAATTTTAATGGTAGAATTGTTAACCTGAATTTAAATAGATTGTTTAGTGTGTTCCTTTAGTGTTATTTTAGCATATGAAGTACCATTTTTACAGCTCTGATTATTCATAGTCCTTCATTATCTGAGTGATTTATTGGACTCTCTCTTTTTCTTGCATTCCATAATAATTGGTTCTGTTTTTGGACTTTCTCTTCAACTCCATTGATCAAGGTGTTTACCATGTGCTAATACAATACAAACTAAATTTCACTGCCACTTTTTAATTCTTCTTTTACCGAATTATCCTGGTTTATTGTGATTCTTTAACCTTCAACTTAAAAGCTAAGAATTATAACATTCTATGGAAATCACTGTTCAAATTTTAATTGAAATATCTTATTATTTAGATTTGTTCTACAGTAAATGTTTTATTTGTGCTATCTATTGCTGTCTGTTGGTGTACTATATCATTTTATTTAAAGGTTCTATTATATATGTTATTTGGATTTAGAATTTTCTGTAGAAGAGCTTGTCTTTTGATTGATCTATTCCTACATAGCTAACATTTTTCTATATAGTATTAGTAACGTTTTATTTTTAATTCACTCTTCTTGTTCATTAGTACTGCATAAGATACACTTTTTTAACATCAATTTTACAAGCATTTATCTTGCTAAATGTCCATAAAAATAAGATTTTAGATTCCTTGGTCATTTAGATTCTTTGAGGGAGTAGCTTTCCCTGTTTCCCAACATTGACAATGTGGTCTCTCCTCTCTCCTTTTGCCCAGCATTGACAATATGGAAATGCATTTAAAATTTGCTGTATTTTTCTTCAGAGAAAATACCCCTTCTACAACATTTTTGTTAATGAATGACCTACATCCATGCCTCAAAATCCAGGACCTTAGAGTTGAAAATACATCACCGCACATTTGATTTTTTTTTTGGACAAATATATTGAAAATGAAAATACAGCTGGTTGGTGTGGTATGTGCTTGTCATCCCAGCTATTCTGGAAGCTGATGAAGGAAGATCACTTGAATCCAGGAATTGGAGTTTAGCCTGGACAGCACAGAGAGATCTGATCTCAAAACATTATAATAGAAATATAAAATTATATTGTTAATATGTGGCCATACTATGTGTAAATTCAGAATTAGATAGAATGGAAATTTTATTTTTTTAGTATCCCGCAGCAATACTAACTCACTACATGCTCCTATTTAAAGGCATTAAATGCTTTTCCATTTTTCTTGAGACAAAGCACTACTTGTCTATCATCAGTTCACCCATTTCTACTTGATTGTTAGAATAATTTCTTATTGGGGGACAAAAGGAATGATGGGATTATTGACATGTTTCATAAAGGTGCACATTTTCTTTCAAATAAGTTGAATGGAAAAAATAAAATGTTTTTAACTACATTCAATCTGATTTTCTCCAAACCTTTACTTTAGTTATGCAGAAAATAATAAAAATCTAATTGGAGTAAAACCTTATTGAACATTTATAAGAACCATTTGTGGTTTTGCTTCTTTTTTATGGATAAAAATGCTCATTCCTTTGGGAATCCCATTTTTTCTTCAGATCATTTTTATATGACACTAACAAGGCAAAGACAAGTTGGCATCCTCTTCATCCTCTTTATGATTTGAAAACAATGTTTGTCATCATGGTTTCTGCTCTCCTTGGCACATGAGACTGATGTCTGATCTGGTTTAAGTCATGAACTCATAAGTGCTGCCCCACCGTCTCTTTCAGCTAAATTCAACATGCCCAGTGCCCCAATCCCTTCACTGCTGCCCTTCTAACTCCAGTCTGTGAGTCCTTTCTATGACACCAGACACACAGCCAGCTTATCTTCAGTTTAGCAATTCTTTCCTTGCATTTCAGAATTGATTGCCTGACTATTCCTGAAAAGATTTTCCATTCCACGGGTAATTAGGAAGAACAGACCAGCTTAATTGTCTCCTGCTCATTTATACTTTCAATGTTTCCTCCAAATATTTTATGAAGAAGCCATCAAGTAATTTCCTGCCAGATACCCTAATAGTGTTTGGCAGGAAAAAAAGCAAAACTGCTTTCAGCCAAAATGATACTCAGTTATCTACAAAGTACTTTTTTTAAAACTAATGTTTTGAGAAGACAAATTATGTTGAGAAATTATTTTAAAATCTACACACTTCCTCTCCTCCCATTTTCCCTGCAATTCTTGGGTCAAATTGGGAAAGATTGTTGGGTTTCTTTTTCATTTTGTTTACTCCCTACACAACACTGTTTGAGCTGACTTTTCTCCTTTAAGTGGAAGGTATCAGGTGGTTTGTCCCAGAGATGGGAAAACTGTCTAATACACTTTCTCTTTGCCTAACTCTCCCAACTGTTCATATATGCTGTGCAAATTTTCTCCCAGTCATTAATAATTCTAAACTTGAGCAACCTATGATTCTGGTTCTGGGGGCTACTTTCCTAAAAATGAGGCATATTTTATTTGCTTTTTACATGTCTTGTACGTCTTTATAGCATATTAGAAATTGTGTGTAGAGAAGGATTAGAGAGGCGAGGTAAACAATACTTATGCTTCCAAAGCAGCTTTCCCATTCTTCTTTTAGGTCATTATTGTGCCAATTCGAATCAAACTATTCTATAATTTAGCTGGATATTGCTTCTTGTGTTGCTTTAATTGTATTCTATTTACATGGAATCAAATTATTTTTGAGAATCATAAACTTTCTTTTTATTAAGGTTTGATCTCTGAAGGCTGAAAGTGTTATCTCAGATTTCCTAACCTATCTTCCTATATTGTAGCAAATATAACTTGCAGTATTGTAGCTCTAAATAGTATAAGAGAGTCGGGCCAAGAAGAATCAAGCACACATCCTGGAAGTTGGAGGCAGGTTTATTTCACTAGCAGACTGATGGGAAACTTCTCCACAAAATTATCAGCTCCATCTTGGGGGTGAACAGGATTTATATAGATTTGGGAAAGGAGGGGTAAGGATACAGTGGCATGACACTCAACATTAGTTCATTGTTTGAGGTAGACACGTTCAACTTATGAAATTGGATAGAAAGGTACACTAGGATTCACTTTATTTACATATCGTGAGTCACAGAAACCCTACTGAGAACAAAGGACACTGGAGGAAAACATGTCCAGGTCTCACTCAGACTTGCAGGACATGTTTTAGGTGTGGGAGGGGTCAGAAGTAGGAGGAGCCTTTTGTTGCTATCTGGTTAGCCGCAGCACAGGCTCCTTCTGGTCAGAAATCATATCCTGCTCATTCCCTCCTCTTTTTGATTATAGCTGAATCTTCAACTTCTTTGCTGGTTTATGTTTTTACATGTGTAAGGGTACACATCAGACCTTGAAGTCACCATCTATTAGTATGATTTTTGGATCTTAATGGTGTTAAGGCATTGAGAAATAAAGTATATGAACCAGTTTATAAAGCACAGATTGATTGTTAATAACATGAAGATACCAAAGAGAGATCCTAATAAAGCCCCTAACCATGTCTTCCAGTCACCTAAGACACCCCACCAGTTCTCAGGGATTTTCTGAGTCAATCTAGACAAGATAGGATAGCAAATGTCACCATAAAACCCCAGCATATAGCTAAGAGGAAACATCTTTGGAAAGTATTCCAGTCCTCTGGAGTAACAGTTATTAGGCCTATGTCAAGAATAAAGGTAGTCATGATGAGGTAAGCAAGAATAAAGATGCCAGGGAGACCAAGTCTGGAAAGCGTGGCAGTGGTTCATGGGTTGAGGTCCTCAGACAGGCTTCAGCCATCTGTTGGCCTGCCAGTGTCTGGAGTGACAGGAACAGGGCTTTGAGTATGTTGTCTCCTCAGTGTTATTGTTAATGGAGTTGTTTCATCAGTGTGGGCCTCCCAAGAGTCATCGTGATGGGCCTTTTTGATTCAAGAGTGACGAATCCATGACTGGATCTCTGAAACTTTAACAGCCCCATACAATAATCTTGGTGGAACCGGTGAATGTGCCTCAACTCTTCTCCCTGTTGCCTCCTCGCTGTGTTGGCTCTTGGAGGGCTGGCATCTTGAGGACTGGGGCCTTGAGGGCTGGTGCCTTGAAGGGGACCCTAAATGTCTAACTGTCTATCTATAATATCCCCTCTCTGACAAAGTATCCCGAACTGCCATGAGAGGGCAAGGGGTGAAGAACATTCTGGCTATTTCTGGCTGAAGAGGTTGTAGTTCTGTTCAGCAGTCAGAGATACTCTATAGAGGGTCTATCTAAAGGCCCTCAACAGGCACTAGCCATTGTCATCTTGGGTAGCTTTAAGTCTGGAGGATAAAAAGACAAATAAACAGTTAAGAATACATGGGCTAAATAATAAGGTCACTAGAGTTGTTATGAATATAGCCAACTAGTGTTTTTACCAAGAAGAATTAGTAATAGCCTTCCATAAAGAGGATAAGAAGAAGGCCCAGGTGACTTCAGAATTGTAGTTTAGCAGTTATGAACTTTTTATAAGGTCCATCTGGTGGATTCTGGTAAAAGAAGTCCAGCACATTTGTCTTTGGTTCCATTTGTATGACCATTTGGAGTTTGGCAGCCTCTAGGCAAGAATAAACAAAATTCTAAAGAAATTAGACCATGTATAATGTAAGTGTGAACACTAGAATGGAAAGGCAGGTTGGGGAAAGAGTCACAATTAAAAACTGAAATGGTGATTAAAACCTGTTTGTTCTTATATACTTTTATTGACAGAGGTTATCTATAAATCTGATATTTTTGTCATAAGTCTCTCCAGTCTTAGCTGTAAGATAGAGAAAATTTGAAAGACAAATTTAGCTAAGAAATTTAAAACTCTAATTGAGCTTTTATAGATGTTTCCATAGTTTTTCCTAATGATCCATAACCATGGTCAGCTACCAGTGTAGCTGGAAACTGCCAGAAGTGGTCACTGATTGAGCCCTTTTTATATCTTTTTATATCTAGCTTTATTACTATGATATTATTTTATAACATTTTTGTTACTCTTTTTTACTGAGTGTTTAAGACCAAGTTAAAATAAGACCTGTGTCAATCAGTATGAACCTCTTGCTATCTATCAAGATCAATTAAGTCTCCTTAGGCATTATTTTGGAACCATGTACAGAGCCTCTCAGCTACTATCAGGATCAGCCTGCAGGATGGGTCATGACCTTGCTTGACCATGGTGCTTTCAGTGAAAGCATGGGAGCCTTTTCTCTTTGTGACCCTCTTTTTGCACATGGTACATTTTGATAGGTCTCCCACTATGCCAGCAGCTATTATGTATAGTAGCTACCCTCTTCCTAGGGTGCCTTGCCCCCTCCCTTGCATGATGTCATGCCAAGATGGTTGCTTCCCCCAAAGAACAAACCCTTCTTCCCAGCATGCCCCTGGTCCCACCTAGACAGTAACCTAATACTCGCTCACCTCCTACTACCTAGTGACATCACCAGCTCCTCCACTCCCTAATCACTACCTCACTCAACCCCACCTCAGCCCCTATAGCCCCACCCCAGTCTCTATAAAAGACACTCTCTGCCCCAGCCATATTGCTTTTGTCTCTCCTTTGTTCAGAGACAGCCCGGCAGATCTATTCCCCTAATAAAGGCTTGTTGTGGCCTGGTCTGGTCTTGGTTTTTGGCCGTTTTACCTGACATATTTGTCCTCTGGTGCCCAGCAATCTCCTGTTCAGTAGGTTGAGTTACTTACCAAAGATGAAGGATCCTGTAGAAAAGGTTCCTTTGTGTCCTGGATCTTTGTTAACCTTGAGGGGCTAGGGCCAAAATATTAGCTGTCCTTATAGCCCAGTTACCATTTTAGTTTTGGTCTCCAAACCTTAGTTGAACACCCAGAAGAAAAGGTCACTATTATAATTTTGTTGAACGTTAAGCACTTTTGAAATATAAAGTATAGTTAGAGGATTGTTATTTTTTTATCAACCATGGTTGTTTTAGTAGTTGAATTCCTGTAGAATGTCAACAGAGAACAGCTATTTATTATATAGAAAAACAACATCAAGAGCCACTCATATTTTAGCATGACAATCATGATGACATTATCTTTGTAACACACTCAAATGTCCATCTTAGTATGGAATAGTCTTTTAGTCAAGCAACTCTATTTGACTACAAGACATTAAACATCACATAGAAAACTCTTATTTGTTATCCTTTAGTAGAATGTCATCTAAAGAGAACACACATATCAGCCTATAAATATACCTTAGTTTATAATGTCTAGCCCTTCATTTTAATGTGTGACATTGTTTGGACTGTTTGACTTCTGAGCATCCCTAAGTATAGTAACACATAACATCCCCATCACATAAGTTCTTAAGAAAAAGTATTATTTGATTGGTTATCTCATGTTGATTTGATACGTACATCTTACCACAAGTAGATGGACCACAAGAGAAAGGCAGATAACTGAGTCAAAATGGTCAAAAACATAAACAATATCTTAGGAGACATGCTCAGCCAGAAGGCATGAATATTTAGTATACCATGAAATAACAATGAGTATCAGTTACATGAAACCCTTTGTCCCTTAATTTTGTTTTGTACCAGAACATTTTAAATAAAATCTTTATTGTTTTCCCACAGAAAACTTAGCTCTTTGACAATGAGACCAATGTATACATATCACAATAATAATATTTAGCAGTGCATTTCCCACAAAGGTATGGAGATTGTGTGGGGCTGTAAGATTTTATCCTAACCCCAGGATGTTTAATTCTAATGACCTCACTCATGCTCTGTGCCTGCTAGCTTTAGATTGTTAAAATTAGTTAAAATGCCTAAAGTGTGTCACCTAATTCACTGTCCAGAACTGATGTCCTGAACATTGCTATCTATTAGAACGATCTACAAACATTGCAAACATCTGCCGACCACTAGTACGCGACGGCCATGACTATTAGTCAAGATGTCTGGTGATTATCAACATACATCAAGTGACCACTAAACTTTGTCCCCTTTCGTAAATCTGCTTGTTAACTTCCCCCTCAACCCCCTATAAAATAAACTCGGACTCTGAGCCAGTTGCCTCTCTTAGCTATTTTGCTTTGAGAGTGCCATCTGGCCAGACTAATAAAGGTCTGTTTCATTTTTTCAACTTGTCCGGTGTGTTCCTTCCCGAGTGTTCGTCGCTGCAGTCAGCTCCTCGGAGCGTTTGGTAAGGCCCTCAGTCTTACAATTGTTAAGGTCCCCTTTATGAAGAAAGGCTGGAATAAATTTTTTTCCAGCCAGCCTCTCCTTTATTTACCAAGGGGAGTCCTGTCCAGTAATTTTCTTAAGCCCAAGAGTCTATATAATTATCTTATCAGAATTTTAGATGACCTATGAGAGCCAGATCATAACAAATAACACAGTATTTTTGACCAATGAAAGTTTCTTCAGTTATTATATATAGACAACGATATGTACTATATTTGTAAAACCAGTTGACATTATTTGGATCATCTGGCAACCTGAGGGAAGCATGTCTTTAATTACATTTTTCTATCATCACTCTTTTTTTTAATCATCATTCTTGAGGAACATAAAAGGAGTTCATCTCAAATTCTGCCGGAGGACTGAAAAATAAATTTAGGCTAACATTTACATTTAGTCTTCAAGAGTTTCAGGATTAAACCTAAACCATTTTTACATGGCCCAGAAATAAGTGAAGGTCAGCTTTACTCTGGAAGGGTTCATATGATGGGAAACTTACCATTCTAGGAACTTTGACTTGAAATCCAGCAGCCACAGATGAGGGAAGCTCCTTGAATCAAATACTGTTGAGAACTGTGTTATTTCTCAGGGGCATGACAGTGAAGAAGGGACAGAAGGGTGACTTTAAGTATGGCACAAGTACTGAATCTTTTTTTTTTTGGTACTGAGGATTGAACTCAGGACCTTGCACTTGGAAGATAGGTGCAGTGCCATTGAGCTAAATCCCTGGCCCCAGAGCCTTTTTTTTATAGTGGACCTTTTTTTTTATAGTGGACCTTTTTGTCTAGAGACAAATCCATGATTAATTCCAATCGCATTGTCAATCAGAAAATTAAACAAATAATCAAAGAAACTGAATGGCTGTTTTTTCTTCTTGAAAGAGTGAGAATGAAAGTGTTTTAACTATATTATTTAGGGCTTTTCTTTTTAAATAAATGATTTTGAATCTATGATAACTAATGTATGACTTAAATACCCTACAGGCTTTTGAGCAGGTCCCCAATCTTGTAGAAACACTCCTAAAGCCATGTCTCATTTATTAAGGTACAAACTGAGATGGTATCTGATAGGCAGGCACTTAGAAGTGTTTGTTTGAGCTTCTGGAATGTGGTCTGGGAATAAGGTTCCCAGATTAAAATATAGGTATCTGTCTTTTGGGGTTTTCTATAAATTGATAAAGGGATCATGCAATCTCATTATATCCTTTTGATACAGAAAAGTTTTAGATAACTTAATAGATTGAATATTAAGGTAATTGTAGAAGCAAAATAAGTAATGTGTTCTTTTAAGATTTGCTTTTCCTATAACTCCTTGTTTATGGTGATGATTATCTGACTATAATGGGTAACTTCATTAAACTAACAAAGTTGCCATGCCAGGGTGAATTTACAATGTATATGTCCCTATCTTGTGTCTGTGACTTGTAAATAGGAACCCGAATTGTATTTACACATCAAAGACCACTAGGGATGAGATAATGGCTAAAAAAGGATATAAAAAGGGAAACTCTGAACTAGCTGATACTAGCCAGACTGGTTTCTGGCCTTCCCGCCTGCTCGCGAGAAGTTTTATTATTTTATCTGAATTCTGTGACTCCGTGTATTTCTTTCTGAGATTTCTGCAACATTGTTATTTAAAAGTGACAAAAGACTGTAATTTCAAAGAATCTCTTTAGCTATTTTAAAGTCTTGGGCTGTGGAGAGGAAAGAATTGGTTTAATTCTTTCTTTCCTTAGTCTTTGGGTTCCCTTATATATAATAAGGCCTAAATATCTTCCCTCAAGGTTGCAAAGTTGTCCCTTAGATCTAGAAACATTATAACCCCTGTCTGTTGGAAAATTCAGCAAAGCACAGATGTCTTGGCTAGAAAGCTCTTTTGAGGGGATACATAACAGCATACCATTTACATATTGCAAGACTGACTTGGAAAAAAACACAGTATTTCCTTCTATCAAATCAGGATGTAGGAATGTCCTCAACTTTGTCCTGATAAATAGTTGACAATTTAAAGCAATTGAAGGGCTTAGTTCTCATCTTTCTTAGCTCTTTAAGAATACATGCCTTAAAATGTCTTTTATTTTAATCTCTTATTTGATTGGCAGGATAGTGGGGGGTCTTATAGAGGAACTTGTTGTTTTCCTGTAGAAACTAGTTGTTCCCCTGGCTGCCTGTCTTTAACTTTTAAAATCAAAACAATGTATTTCTAAATGTACCTTGGAATACTGCTTGTCTCTCATTGGAAATTAATGTTTGATTTAAGAGCAACATTACATCTTTTTAATCTAGTCCATAGATCTGAGTAAATTCTCTAAAGACCTCAATGTACAGATAAGGATCATCTGAAAACTTTTTTAGATCTCATTTGACCTCTTTTAGGTCACTGAGAAAAAGATACGTGCACACAGGTAGTCCCATATTTGCTATTTATTTTCTCCAAGAGATATGTCTTTGGGGGACTTAACAACTTAGGTAAGGATGGATATAGCCTCATAGAGATTTTAATTATGGCTGGCCTAGAAATTCCACCCTCAGTACCCAGTGGTTAGACCTTAAAATTCTCTGGAAACTTTGTTCTCAGGTTCTAAAGGATAAGGTATAGCCTCAGGCTTAGAGGTACTGAATGCCTTAAGGGTTTTTCTATGGCCCACATTTACATTTGAACAAAAGCAAGGATTACTTTTTAATGTAAAGAAAGTCTGAACAAAAGGCAATTTTGACCATTTTTTACAGTATATTTTTAGTTCTGAAATAGCATCATAACATTTTTCTCTACATTTTATTTTGGCTCTAGGGGTAGGCACGCCGTGTCCAGATGTCGAAAAATACTAAATTGTTCCTTAATACATTCCAAAGGAGTTTAAGGTTCAGATATGGAGTTCTCAATCCTTTATTAGCATCATGATCTTATCTTCCTCAGGGAACTCATATCCTTACTCCAGTAGATACTCTCAAAGCACTAGTTACAATTGACTTAGCCATAACAATCATTTTTAGAGAAGGGTATATTGCTAGCAAACCAAGAGATTTAAACCATTGCTTTCTAGTTTCTTGAAAGAGAAGAAAATAGGTCAACAGTCAAATTAGGCCACTTTTCTGTAAAAGAGATCACCTCTAGAGATGGTAGGTCAGAGATTCTGCCCTGGGCCCTAGGTCAGAGAAATCTCAGAAATTTAC